CAGGAAACCACCTAACCGGAACAAGTTTTCCAAATGAAATGGCATAGCCAATAATACTATGACTGTAGTGTTGTTAGTATTTAGAGATAAGCTCCGCCTACATGATTAAATATGCACACTCTGAGAACTCTCTCTCAGAGCCCTCTTTGATAGACACTTTACATTATACACGCAATATAGCAAGACCTCTGTTAATACTTCTGTAAATAAATATTAGAATAGTTTATTATATTGAGTTTTTCAATACAGTACAATGGCGACGAGGATTAAAAAGAAATAAATGGAATTTATGTAATAAAAAAAATATTTTACAAGAATTAAATGAAGTGAACGCTGGATAATTTACACCTGTTGGATTTAAAGTTTAAGACACTTTATCTGGATTTTATTTTGGCAACCTATGTCCTTATCAATAACACTGATACAGTGACAATATGGCTCAAGGATTACCAGTTTTTCCAGCATTTAGTGTAAATGAATCAGGCGTTGACACAAGATGGAGGAAATGGTCAGGTCGATTCGAAAACTTAATGATTGGCATGGACATTAAAGACAAAAAACGTCAGAGAGCCTTAATTATTGCTACACTATGCAGGGGAAGAAGTAAATGACATCTTCGACGTACTGCAGAATACAGGGCAGGCCTCGACACTAACTATTTTAGCAGGTGGTACGCCGGACCACTAGATTTGAAAGTTAGGTGGTCCTTCCAGAAGTCAGGTGGTCAGTTATCATTATTATATTTTTTTACTGCAAGTGTAGAAAAAAATGTTTAAACTTTATGACAAAGATGTATTATTACATAATCTTTAAAGAAAACAGATATTTTTAGATATATATTTTTCCTCTAATCAGAAAAGGGAGAGCAAGTCAGTGGGTATTTTATCGTAGAGTTATTTGTTTATTTGTTTTTATCTCAGTCAAAAATACACAACAGAGCTTTTATTTATGTTAACTTTTATATTAAAGTGATTTCTCTCTCAACTCAAGTTAGGGAATAATGAAGCCATTTGTGTCTGTTATTTTCTTACTGTTATTCAAATATTCATTGCTGATACGCGGTACGTCTTATAATCATGATAATAACATAGCATCTTTTACAGATTAACATTTTTAATGGAACTAATAAATTATCTTATTTTTGTCTTTGAAAACAATGAAATATCTAAATTATTTAAATAATGACAACGTTATTATTTACTATAACTTATCTTATTTTTCTCACAGATTTATAATACAGAATTTTACCTCCCTGTTGCTTGTTGGTTGATATTCATTTTTGACATTGGGTATTTTTAACCTTTTAAAATAATTTTAACTCTAGAAGAAACAGATCTCTTATCGTTAAACAGTTAAAATAAAGATAAATAGCATAGAATTACTAGATGTATTTTTTTCCAGTTCCTTTCGTTTGCTCACGGATTTAAATTACAATGTCAATTAAAGTCCGTGGTTTGCTGCCGTTATTCAAGTATCTGAAATTTAAGTTTATCCGATATCATATAATTACCATCATCGGATACTCACGGTTTATTAACATGTAACATAACATAAATGTTAACGGTTCCGTCGTGGGTATCCGACGATGCATAATTACTAGCACCATTTGAATGAATTTTGTACCTAAATTTATATCACAAACTCTTAACTCTTTTAACTTGCATAAACAAAATTTTAGCGACTTAAAATGAAAGTTATTGATGACTTAAAAGAACTTCTTTAACTATCAGAGATTAATGAACCATATATATGTACATCGGACATAGATTTTAAACAAAATTATATAGATCTAACATGTTTTTGACCAAATCGCCATTCTCCCAAATGAGCCTTGCATCAACCAGAAAATTCAAGTGGTCCGACGGACCAGTGGGTTTTAAAATTAGGTGGTCCTTGCCAAAATCAAGTGGTCTCGGACCAACGGACCACCGCTAATGTCGAGGCCTGCAGGGGATGACTACGAAACAGCAAAAATAAAGCTAACAGAGTACTTTGCCCCCAAGAAAAACACAGAATTTGAGATATATAAATTTAGACAGGCAAAGCAGGAATCTAATGAGAACATTGATAGTTTCCACACACGTTTAAGACACTTAAGTATAAACTGTGAATTTTCGGAAACAGACAAAGAAATTAAGTCACAAATCATTCAAGGCTGCACCTCAACTCGACTGCGTCGCAAAGCACTACGCGATGACCTGACATTAGACAGTCTCATCAAAGAAGCAAGGACACTAGAACTATCAGATCAACAAGCATCTGAAATTGAAGGTCAAGCAAAATATGACGTCGTTAATGCTATGAAATCACGACAAAGGAAAAATCAAAAAGCGCAAAAAGAAACACGCAGACACATCATTAAGGAATCAATATGCAGATACTGTGGATATGAATATCCTCACAAATCAGGAAAATGCCCAGCCAGTGGAAAAACATGTACATTTTGCTCTAAGAAAAATCATTTTGAAGCAGTATGATTGTCAAAGAAACGGGACAATAATTTCACATACAAACTTAATGATAGCTCACAAAGTAAAAGTGATAAGAACAAAAGAAGCGATGATGAAAACGAAATATATGGACTATCTGTCAATTCCATGCAATTACAAAGACCAAGGCTGAAAGTGCATATCAACAGCTGTAAAATTAAAGCATTAATTGATACAGGATCATCAATAAATGTAATTGACGAAAACACGTACTCAAGGCTTCAAAATAAAGTTCATCTTAAGGTAGTACACCCCTAATGCACTGTCTCCACTTTGAAGAGTATTCAAATAGGCTAAAATCACTGTAAAGTGTATTGAAACTGAGGGGGCGTGGGTTCAAACCCCAGAAGGGGCAATTTTTTTTCTTTCTTTTTTTTCTTTTTAACATTTTTTATTAATCTCTCAGACCCCCTATGGAAGAAAAAAGTATTTTATTTTAATTATATAATTATTGTAGGTATTTATTTACTAAATAATGCCAAATTTAATAGCAAATATGATACCAGATATTTTCAAAGTTTAATAAAATAAAAACTAAATGGTAAAAGTATTTTATATTTTGCAAGACCAACCAATATACATTAAAGAAAATTTAGGCAAACTTTGAAAATAGCCCCTCATTTTGGAAAATTTTAGGGATATTTTAAATAAGGCTTTTTACATAGGGAAATGGTCAAATTAGTGTTAAAAGTGGGTGGGGTAGGGTTACATTTTATACATATTAAAAACATTTCGTTTAAAAACAATCATTTTGCTTGTTTAATTTGTTACCTATATGTCATTGTTTATTTCTTAACAATGAGCAAAAGGAAAACATTTTTCATAATGATGATATTGTAGATTATTTAGAGTTTCCTCATTTCTGAAAAAATCCCTTCTAATGGCAAAGTTTTAGTTCATAAAAATGTCCATAACTCATAAACCACACGGTAAATTTTGTTTAAATTTTGCATACAGGTGACATTTAAGGCATATAACTGTCCTATGTTGTCAAATTTACAATTCCTTATAGTGCCCATTAGGGGTGTACTACCTTAAGAGAGCACACACCAAAGTCTATGCATATGGTGCTAGTAAAGTTACCTTATTAGGCAAGTTCCAAGCACAAATTGAATCTAAAAACAAAATAACAACAGCTCCAGTATATGTGACAAAGGGCACCAGCGGTAATCTTCTCTCTTATCAGACATCTGTTGACCTCAATATCATTCCAGAAATAAACACAGTCACAGACAGCAAGGTCGATGAACTCTGCAAAAAGTACCAAACCGTGTTCACAGGCATGGGGAAAATGAAAGCAACAAAAGTCAAACTATATGTGGATAAAAATGTTCAACCTGTTACGCAACCACATAGACGAATACCTTTCCACTTAAGAAAACAAGTTGAAAATGAGCTCCAGAGGCTTGAGGACCTAGATATCATTGAAAAAGTTGAGGGTCCCACAGACTGGGTATCACCCATTGTAGTAGCTCCAAAGCCAAAAACCAACCAAATAAGGATATGTGTCGACATGAGGCTACCGAATCAAGCCATAAAGCGCACAAGACATATTATTCCAACAATTGATGACATGATTGTGGACTTAAGTGGTGCCAAAGTTTTCTCTAAACTCGATTTAAATCATGGATATCACCAATTAGAACTGTCAGAGGAATCACGCAACATTACAACATTTACAACACATGTTGGATTAAGACGATATAAACGCCTCAGTTTCGGAATCAATAGTGCAGCAGAAATATTCCAAAATGCTTTAAGTACGGCTCTAGAAGGTCTGAACGGCGTGAGAAACATTTCCGATGATGTCGTTATATGGGCTGGCGACCAAGCAGAACATGACAGAAGACTTGAGGCAGTGTTAAAGCGACTTGAGCAGAAAAACTTAACTTTGAATAAAAGCAAATGTGAGTTTAATAAGCAAAAACTTGAATTCTTTGGGTACATTTTCAGTAAAGATGGAATGTCAGCAGACCCTAAGAAAATTGACACAATTAAAAAGACACAGCCTCCAAAAACAGTTTCAGAAGTCGGAAGTTTCCTAGCAATGACAAATTACGTGTCACGCTTTATCCCAAATTACAGCACTATAGCAGAGCCAATACGTCGTCTGATAAAGAAAAACGCAAAATGGGCATGGCAAATTGAACAAGACGAAGCATTCAACAAACTGAAATCTATTTTGAGTAGTGATACAGTCATGACATAATAGTACTTTGATCCTAATAAGGAAACACAAATAATCACAGATGCATCTTCAGTCGGAGTAGCTTCAATTATGCTCCAAGAAGGTAAAGTTGTGTGTTATGCAAGCAGATCACTGACAGATGTTGAACGAAGCTCTTACAGTCAACAAGAGAAAAAAACTTAGCATTAGTTTGGTCATTAGAACATTGGCACATATACTTATTTGGACATAAATTCACAGTCATAACTGATGCAAAATTCCTTGAGAATATCTACAATAATCCTAAATCAAAACTTGGATCTGCAAAACTGGAACGTTGGAGAATGCGCCTGTTATCATATGACTTCAGGATCGTGCACAAACCTGGAGAGTCAAACATGTCAGATTATCTAAGCAGACATCCAGACACAGGACAAGGCAGCAAATCAAGCATAGCTGAAGAATATGTAAGTTTTCTTGCATATCATGATGTACCTGTTGCAATGAACATGAATGAAATTATTCAGGCAACTTCTACGGACAATGACCTCCAAATGGCCATTAAATCCATAAAGACGGGTTGTAGGAGCAACACCAATAAAAATAAAGTATTCGATACGTTCTCTCGCTGTAAGAATGAATTATCGGTAGTCAATCTCAAGGGAGGTGAAATCTTACTGCATGAATCAAGAATTGTTATTCCTAGGCAGTTGCAAGATAAAGCGATATCATTAGCTCATGAAGGTCATCAGGGAATTGTTAAAACCAAACAACTTCTAAGAGAGAAAGTGTACTTCCCAGGCATGGATCAACAAGTTGAAAATATGTGCAAAAGCTGCATCCCGTGCTTAGCAGCAACAATTTCAAAACAGCATGAACCTTTAAACATGAGTGATATGCCGAAATACCCATTTCAAATGATTAGTTTGGATTTCTGTGGCCCATTTCCAGATGGAAAATATCTGCTTGTACTAATTGACGAATATTCACGTTTTCCGTTCGTAGAAGTCTTAAATTCCATAACAGGAAATACAGTTATCCCTGTGCTGGACAAAATTTTCTCAGAAACTGGAATACCTGAAATTCTCAAGTCAGATAACGGCAGTCCTATGAACTCTCATCTATTTAAAAGTTTTGCAAAACACATGGGCTTCAAACATAGGAAAATAACTCCGTTATGGCCGCAAGCAAACGCTGAATGTGAGCGATTCATGAAAACCATAGGCAAGTCAATTCGAGCTTCTCATGTGCACCATACAAACTGGAAACAAGACATGTATGCATTTTTAAGAAATTACAGATCTACACCACATGGGACAACGGCCGAAACTCCTGCACAATTGTTCTACGGAAGGCCTATTAACATAAAAATTCCCATGGTTCAAAAACAAAAGAAATATAAAAAGGACATAAAAGCCAGAGAAAATGACAGAAAATCAAAACAAAAAAATGAAAGAATACGCTGATAAACGTAGAAACGCTCGAAAAACTGAAGTTAAAATAGGTGACAGTGTGTTAGTAAAGCAAACCAAACAAAACAAACTCACAACTCCATATGACCCTAAACCGTATGAAGTAACCAGGAAAAAAGGATCAATGATAACGGCAGAGCGAGAAGACAAACAAATCACTAGAAATTCATCACATTTTAAACGTGTCGGCAACTCTCAGACCCAAAATCTAAATGGAAATGCTCCTTTGAATAGCGAGGGTGAACACAACAATACAGAACCAATTTACAACAAAACCAGCATAGAATCACAATCAGATGAAAACACAATGCTCGAAACTTTACCTACATCAAATGAATATACTTCTTTGCGAAGATCTGAAAGGCACAGAAAACCACCTGACTATTTAAAAGATTATATATGTAAATAGTGTTAAACAGTGGCATAATAATCCACTAAAAGTTAACTAAATGAGTGAAAACCACCTGCATATATTTGACTATATTGTGTAAACAGTGTTAAACAGTGGCATAATAATCCACTAAATGTTAGCTAAAAGTTAAAGGAATATTCATTCATACAAATGGGTTAGATTATTTAAACTGTCGGCGTGTAAAAACATTCTAAATAGGGATTTTATATAACTGCTAATAATCATACAATTCTTAACTATGTGCTTAAATCTCCAGAGGAAAATGGAATAAAAGTATAAATGAAACATTGATACTTAAACTAATTGTGTACCATTTAGATTCTATCTTCAATCTTTATTCTAATTTGTTTTATTTCATGCTGATAAAACCTGTTTGTATTCTGTAAACATTGAAAATTTACTCAACACAGTTTAGACATTAAGTTAATTTATTGGACTACGGACAGTCGGTAACTTTCTAGACTTATTGCCTCTAGAACATAAACTGAGATTAAATGTGATAGCAATCAAGAGACTATCATTACTGGATATAAAATAATCATTAACTTGTAGTGGCAGCGCCAGCGTGAAATAAACACCTGTGAATCAGTGGATATCTGAAACAATAACATTACTGTCAGACAAATAATTAATGTCTTTCATTAGGACTGACCAGTGAACTTTAAACCTAAGCAAGGCGGAGATGTAGTGTTGTTAGTATTTAGAGATTAGCTCCGCCTACATGATTAAATATGCACACTCTGAGAACTCTCTCTCAGAGCCCTCTTTGATAGACACTTTACATTATACATGCAATATAGCAAGACCTCTGTTAATACTTCTGTAAATAAATATTAGAATAGTTTATCATATTGAGTTTTTCAATACAGTACAATGACCACAGCAGATTTCGTACAGAAAACGGCACAAAATTTAGTGTTCGTATAGATACAGTACCCGTATTATTCATTCGTAACAACTCGGCAATCTCCGTCAAGTTCGAATTCTTGAAGTCGCCCGAGGTGTTCCGATTGCGTATTATTTAGACTGGTCCCCTGCACACTTCTAAAACCATAATAGGACAGGGAACCAAATTACGTATTTAGACTAATCGCAACCTCTTGGCCCTTTATGTCAATCGCAAAGCAGACGACAGGGATTATGTATATTGTAGTTTATCACTTTTCGCGAGATCACACATAACATTTAACAATTATATAGAGCCCAAGCAACAAAACAAACAACGACAAAATATCGATACTGCAGTACAGTATGACAAAATATGAGCGTATTACAGTAACGTAGATTTAGGCCTCACTGAGTAATCTATCTGAGTATATCCACATACTGCCAGTTTTCAATCACAACCACTTTTCAATCATCCCTCGAAATTTTTTATTTTTGACCTTATTTGTCATGTAACCAAACTGTAAGCACATCTTGTATTCACCTTGACTAAATTTATCAGCAGCAATGTCAATTATGGCGATAAAAAAGAAAATGCTAGCATTTTAGTTCAAAATATGTAAAATGTGTGTTTCCACTAATCCTTTATTTACCCAGTAAAAAATCGCAATAATTTTCTAAAAATAATTGATTTACAGACTCAGTTTTTTGTCAGTCTGCAGAAATGGATATTAAGTTGGACAACTGTTTCAATATCATGAAGTCATTATGTTTGCTACACTTCAAAAGCTGTAATTTTAATATGTACATATATTACCATACAGTTCTTAATTGGAAGGTAATACATCAGTAAAGTAACAGTCACTTAACCAAGGAAAAACATTCTCTGTGATAACTTTTCAGTAAGGAGTCACTAGAATGGGGTCACATTCACGAATTCGAAAACCTAGCTAAACGCTGTTTTCCGGTACTTTCTGTACATAGCTCTGGGGAATTCACCTAATGGAGTGTAATAGCGAACTCGGATGTTTTCAGCCTTTTTAAAATTAAATTGAAATAAAACAGTTATTTCTTTATTAGAAAATAATTAAATATCATTGTATGAATAATTCCATACAAAAAATAAAGTAAATACACAAGTTTACGCAGAAAATAACCTTATTTATTATGGGATGTTCCGCTACGTCTTTGAATTTTATTGATTTTCATTATAAATTATTTTTTTTAATTTTGAATAATATGCAATAGATATTAAAGGAATATTGATACTTTTCAAAAACATCATTTTTTTTACCTTAAACGGTTAAATAATGATAGAAAAATAGAAATATCACATAACTGTGTTATTTACTTCATTTGGTGTAATTCCCCAGAGCTTAAACGGTAACGTACCGGAAAACGGTGTTTAGCTAGGTTTTCGAAAAGGTCAATAGACCCTAAGATCCTAAAAATTTCACAAGAACATGCTTTTTCTGTCATGCAAATTGAAATGTACATCCATACCCCAATTGTGACAGCTTTACCACTGCAAATAGATATATCTAGATTGAAAAATGGCATTATAATTAGGTTAAAATTGTTTATTACCATTTATCTGAAGTTGAGTTTGTCAAAATTTCTCCAAAATACAGAACTAATTATATTTTAACATTGTATGACAATTTTTATGTGGTACAGTTTATATTTTGTTAACTGATTGAAAAGTGGTTGTGAAATTTTGAAGAACTGGAAAATGGTTAGTAATGATTTGTCCTCGATTCATAGTAATAATTGAAGTGAAATTTTAAAAAGTTGGTGCATTTATTAGCTGAAATGATAATATTCGCAGAATTGAAAGAGAATTTATTTTATATATAATTTCACTGTCAGTTATTGTTGAAAAATCTGTTAGCTGATCGGAAAGAGGCAGTACTGGGATACTCGGTTCCTATGATATCAAGGGTTCTATGATATCAAGGTATTTAAATTTTCTGTGACTGCTAGTAAAAGCAACACACGATGATGCTAATATTTGTAAAACTTGCACACTAGATTCATTTTCATCTGCCAATAAATTTAATTTGGTGAATAATGAATGTATTTGTGGCAAGAAAACTATTTTATAAAATCTTCATATTTGACTACCATTTTCCTTAATGGTTTTTACACAGTCAATTAAAATATGTTATAAACACATATACTGACATATAGTCTGTTCATAAAGTTTTAATTTTATAGCAAGTTAACTGATGGAAGTTTTTCACAACTTAACCTGAAAGTTTTGACCCATCAATCCTTCCATACTTGCTTTTTTGGGGGATTACCTTGATACCGTAGTAACCTCCTCTGAAATGACCCAAAATGGCAGGCATTGAAAATATTCTAAATAATGTCATTTTTATTGGTTCTTTTGAAATAATTTTTTGAGAAACAGTTCTGGAAAAGGTTCATTTATAAGATGGAAGAAAAATCTCATTCATTTATGATATTTATATTTAAATATTTTCCGATAAATGTTAAGTACCTTGATATCATAGAACCCCGGGCTACTGTACAGTGGGTGGACCAACGCTCGGCGTAAAAATACTATATTTGATTTGACAAATTCAACGCTCGGCGTAAAAATACTATATTTGATTTGACAAATTCAAATCATCGTCAATCATTTTCAAGACCGATGGCGATGATATTGTTTTAAATAGCCATTCAACCATTGTGTAAAATTCGCTAATCACATAATGATGTGCATGGTTGGAGCTATACTGGTTGGAGAGATAACTCCGACATTAAATCACATATTTTTTGCAATATCTTAATTATCTTCAGGACTGTATAATCACCTTAACAAAGTTCAGTTCAAGGGCTTTACATTACACTGCAAAAATTATATGTATGAAAATGGAAACTGGTATTTCTTTAAGGTCCTGAATGAGGTATACAAAACATTTTCTTTGTACCACACACACTGCGGTATACCGTACCCCGTATATTGCTCGATATTATGAGGACTTTCATCCCATTTCGCGACTTTGAACGGGGAACAAGGGTAAGTTCAGCAATGATATTTAGTCATTTTGAATTGGTTTGATATAAATTTTACAAAAAACAAATACTTCGATAATTTCTCTAGTTACTGAAAACCCATCAATGTTGAGAATTAGCTTTGAAATGTAATTAGGAGGGAAAATTCGTCTTTTTGCTCACGTAATAAATGAACTCGGATCAATAAAATTTGATGTTTTTGTACATATACTTCCTTAAAAGAAAAACTTGAATCGAGTGAAATGTGATAATGATGATAATGTTGATGTTGTAAATGTTCAATCAACAATAGAATCTCAGATGATAGCGCATTTTGCCACATGCCAGTGTACCGAGTATTGCGTTTGAGTTGCTTGCCGGTGTTACGAGTATTACTTTTCAGTGAAAGGAGTATTGGTTTAATATTAATATCCAGTAAATGCGAGAAGTAAACACACAGTATTTATCACATTTATTCTTAAATATGTCTTATTGTGTATACTTATTGACACTATATGGCAGAATATGCAGAGTTTGGGGGTACTTTACTGGAAACATTTGCGAATAATCAATACGCAGTGAGATTTTCATTCCTGCTCATGAAAAAATCAAAGGGCTGCAGCTCTATGGTATTTTCTGATTTTTGCAATCTAAATCATACTGACTATCTGTATGTACTTTCCTGTATAAGTTTATTTTTGTGCCCCCACGTTAGTGGCGGGCATTTAGATTTACCCTTGTCCGTCCGTCCGTCCGTCCGTCTGTCTGTCCGTCCGCACTCACAGGAGAGTAATTATGTGGCTAGAGGGACAATAGGTTCTCTTTGATGTCATTCATTCCGTAATGCTTTTATGTGGCTATTTTCTTTTGCGTGGCTAAAAAGAACAATAGAGAGAACAATAGAGTAGCCACATAATTACTGTCCTGTGAGAACGTCCGTCCGTCCTTCCTTCCGTCCGTCCGTCCGTCCGTTCACTTTTGTGTCGCACATAACTCAAAAAATATTTGACCTAGAGTCATGAAACTTTACAGGAATGTTGATCAGCATGTGTAGTTGTGCACCTGGGTATTTTCGTCTGGATATTTTTAGTATTTTCAGAGTTATTGCCCTTGACTTAGTAAAATTTTGCAATTTTCAACTTGTGTCGCATGTAACTCAAAAAGTATTTGACCTAGAGTCATGAAACTTTACAGGAATGTTGATCAGCATGTGTTGTTGTGCACCTGGGTATTTTCGTCTGGATATTTTTAGTATTTTCAGAGTCATTGCCCTTGACTTAGTAAAATTTTGCAATTTTCAACTTGTGTCGCATGTAACTCTAAAAGTATTTGACCTAGAGTCATGAAACTTTACAGGAATGTTGATCAGCATGTGTAGTTGTGCACCTGGGTATTTTCGTCTGGATATTTTTAGTATTTTCAGAGTTATTGCCCTTGACTTAGTAAAATTTTGCAATTTTCAACATGTGTCGCACGTAACTCAAAAAGTATTTGACCTATCTAGAGTCATGTAACTTTACAGGAATATTGATCAGCATGTGCAGTTATGCACCAGGTATTTTCTTCTGGATTTATTTACTATTTTTAGAGTTATTGCCCTTCACTTAGAAAATTTTTGCAATTTTCAACTTGTGTCGCAAGTTACTCAAAAAGGATTTGACATAGTCATTAAACCTTATGGGTAGGTTGCTCAGCATATTTAGATTTGCACCTGGGGTTTCGCTTGTGAATTTATCCAGTATTTGTAGAGTTATTTCCCTTGACAGAACAGTGGCGCGGTGGGGGCACCCGTGTCCTATGGACACATTTCTAGTTATATACTATAATTCATCTTAGTATACGCAGCGACAGCGTTTTGATTTTCTTCTATAACAGTTTGAGATTGATACATATGGAATTTTGCATGAAAAAAAAAATAGAATTGCCTCGACTAGGATTTGAACCATATGCCTCTCACACCCTCAACGAGACCGCTTACCTCTGCACCGCGGCGAAGTTATACATATGTACCTTGAATAAAAACGAATACATTATGTTATTCTAAATTTAGAATTTCCATTTCGTGTTTGTAATCCTTATTAATTTCGAGGTATTTTGTTCACGATAAACCTGTTGTTTAACACAGATGAAAATAATTTAGCGAAAATCTTCTCGCCAAAACAGTCCGACATGTATATATTCCACTACTCGACAGCCAGATTTATTTGTGTACTACGCTCTGGAGTATTCGGTAATCGACATAGCTAAAAATAGCATTTTCATTGATTAAAATGATATTCATGATAATCCGAAGCTTTACGGAAATAGCCGAACATTTTTCATTGGGTAAAAAAGATATTCATCCGCGAAATTTGTGATTGTAACCTCATATTTCTGTTGACTAATCTAAACTTTTAATGCACTGTAATTCGTTAAATGCCTACATTAA